AATTTTAAAATTATAAGCAAAGTCCTACTCTGCTCAGAGTATATTTGTTTTTAAAAGATTGAAGTACAAGGGAAAAATGTTACTTCAAAAGTATGACAGCTTTTATTATCTTTGCTTTGACAGTTGGAGTATTTTCTTTGATACAAATAGAATAATATTTAGACATCTTTTCAAACGAAATATTCCAACTCCTCTCTTTTGGTTCTCTTCCTTGGTATTCTGGTTGCGTTGTTGTGATCGAAGTGAAACCGATATTTCTAACAACTGACATAACTAGATTGGCTATCATAGCAACATATTTTATTTAAGTTATATTCCTCAATATAAAGATTTTTTCAATGTAAAACCACCGTGTTGTAATATAAAACCACAAATCTAATTGCGACAACTAAATAAAATTTATAAATATTTATCTAGTTTTTACACTTTGTGGACTCAAACAGACTAATCAACTTTCTTTTGATTATTTTGGGAAAAATATAAATAATGAATATATCTTAGTCGGGTTCAAAAATATTTCAATATGTTCAAATTAATTTCGGGAAATGTAAGTAAGAGTGCCTTCGAAATCATTCGTCCAGCCTGCATTTTTATTTATTTGCATTTAGTATGTGCTCACCATTATCCTCCTTCTCCTGTTCTCCAAATCGTCGAATATTGCGTTCGCAATCTGTAATGCTTGCTCTATTTCTAATTTTTATTGCGCATCACAAACGCAGTTCCAAGTATGCGTCAATGGCTTACCAACAGGAACGGCGTTGAGTTACCCGGACGGATATATCTGTTCGATAACTGTTGCAAACATCTGTGTACCGAGTGCTTCCCAGCCCTTCCCTGCCCTGGTGTTCGCACTTTCGCCCTCTGTCTGGGCACAAAAGCCATTAGTAAAATAGGTGGCAACTGTGCGCCTTATCTTGTGTGTCGACTATCCATCCATATGCGGCGATGAAACCATGGCATGTATATATGCTTATATATGAGATAGTGTTATAATGATTTAACTAGCGATTAATTCCACAGGTTGCACCCACTTGACAGTCCTACTACGACGACTACTTCAGGTTCGGTAATTGTGACCAATCGAGTTTCATTTTACCAAACTATACAACAAATGGTCGTTTTCCAGTGAGAAATGAACTTAAAATAACCCTTTTGCTACATATTGCGTGTATTCTCTCTTAGATATGTCTACTGTTTTATAAATGGCAACGTTTGGAGTGGCGCGATCTACGACTGTCCAAGTGCTACTTATTTTGATACTTTCTC